GGAATATTGATCAACGCTCACATGTAGCTATGCAGGTTATGCAAGCTTCGTAGGTTACGAGGGTGTTGTTGGTGTTGAAGGCTATGTAGAAGGTTACGTAGGTTCTGTCTGTCTCTGTCTTTGTCTCTGTCTCTGTCTGTGTCTGTGTCTGTACGTACGTATGTACGTCAGTATATTTGAAACAGTAGGCAAGTAAGTATGTAAGCATGTATGTATTATGTATTATGTATGTATGTATGTATGTATGTATGTATGTATGTATGTACGTACGTATGTATGTGTGTGTATGGATATACATCCATGCATGCATGCATGCATGCATGCATGTATGTAAGGTATACGTACTTGTATATGTGTGTATGCTCGTGTATGTATGTGTATTTGTGTGTGTATTTATGTATGTGTATGTATGTGTATGTAGAGACGTTGGATGTATGTGCATGTATACACTTGTATGTGTATGTACGTGTATGTATGTATGTATGTATGTATGTATGTATGTATGTAAGGCTCAGCAGCAGGGTGCCCCTGTTCTGGGTCTGGTGTGTGTTTTCGGTGCTTCGGGCCTCGGTTGGCTTGGGGCTCTTTGGTGCTTCTGGGCTGGGTCTCTTTGCTTTCTGCCTTGTCTTCCGGGCTTCTGTCTGCCATGGCACTGCATACCTTTGCTGACCCTTTTGCCAGCACCAGCTGCTCCAACAAGATCTCGACGCACCGAGGCCTTCAAGATTTCGAGGCACAGGTTCCGGTTCTCTGGCATGGGGACTCCACAGCCAGGTTCAGACGACAAGTCAGCCCTACAACTGTCTGCTGCCTACTGGTGCTATGCTTGCAACAGGGACTCTGCTCGCTCATACCCACTTCAGGTTTGTATCTGGATACCAGTGGTCCGGTGAGCCACATGCGTCGCTACTCGCCCCCCGGGTACCTCTCTGCAACCGCCAGGTCCGACAGCAGCTCAGGAGGGTCTTTCTACTGACACTGTGTCTGCCAGGATCCGTCTACAGTCGCTGGCTAAACGTCAGTTTCAGCTGCATTCTCAGCTGGACGCCATGACTGCATCCGGCCGCTGGCTTTCGAACTCCACGTTCTCGACCACGGGCAATCCCTATGCATTTCCTGATAGGCAGCCCGCCTGCAGCCTGCCTCTCCCCACAGGGCTTGCTCCATGCCCCTTTCTTGCAGGCCGTATGGAACTGTGGCAGCCCTGGAGACCATGGACTAGCCAGCTGCACTCGCCTAGCTCGGTAAAAGCCTACGACACCTCTGCTCTGCATTTGTCCGGCAGGTTCTCGGCAAGTACCATGTTTGTGCCCAAGTTCAAGCCCGCCTCAGCAGCACTGGCTCTTCCATATGCACACTGTACCCTAGACTGCGGACTCCATCTATCCGCCTCCACGCCTTGCCGGCACCTCAGCCGTGACCACCATGTGCCCACACATGCTGTTGCCTGGCCCGAGTGCGACTGCTCATGCCTTCCAAGCTTCCCTTGCATTCGCCTCTGTGTCAACTAGCCGCTGCTGTGAGCTCAAGGATACCCTGCTTTGCACACGGTGCTCCCGCTCACCTCCCGGCCCTGCATGGCTCCCAGGAAACGACCGCAGCTTCTGCAACCAGCCGTCTCAAAGCGAAGGCGAAGTCAGGGTCTGGACCATCATCCCTATCATCGGGCTCCTCTCCCTCTGATGCTCCGCCTCCGGCAGCTTCAGCCTCAGATGGTTTTCAGGATGTCGACAGTGCTGAGCTCGATGACCTCTCTGCCCGCTTCTGGGCGGACTCTTCAGAGGAAGCAACTGGTGATGGCGTCCCCCGTGCCTCGGTGGACCCTTCTCCTGGTGCACGCAGAGGCCCTCCACCGCCAGTGCCTGTCAATCTCCCTGGTACCAGAACCACTGCAGCAGCTCCTGAGGCCGAGGTCGAGGCTGAGGCTTTCTTCATGGTGGCGGGACGCATCCTGCCACCGCCCCCCCGGCTGGGGTACGGTGCAGTCGGTGTCCTTATGCGATATGCTGCAGCATATCTCTTTGACGGCACGGGTGATGCACGCCGAGCTTAAGGTCTGCGATCAGGCCCACCTATGTGGACACCAGAGTCGACACCTGAGCTCCTTCTTGGTCTCCTCGTCTTCCGGGTTCTGCTTGTGGACCTCTGCCGCCCACCCTGATCTGCGCGAAAATGACCGGACTGCCCTCTGTCAGATGGCTGCCTCTCCACTCCCTGGCCCTACTTTTGCCGCGCCTGTCACTCCTCAGGTTCCCTCCGGAGCGCACATGGCATCGCAGGCTGGCTTTCGCCGAGTCTCTCCTGTGCGGACTCAGACATATCCTGCAGGCTATACTCGCATGCTCTTACTCACGGCAAATGCTGTCCCACACCTAGCCGGTGCTCGGGCCTCGGCGTTTCTGCCGTCGCTTGCAACTGTTGCCCCGTACTGTTCCACATCTGCATGCTGCTCTGCTTGGCTCACGGGCTCAGATTCTTGGGGTGCTCCCCTTGGGACTGGCTGGCCTCAAGGGCGCCTCAACCGCACCTTTGCGGAGACGGCTTCGGTGGAGGCCTCTTCGTCCTCGACAGACCTGCACCCGGCTGACTGCGAGCACCTCGAGCGGACTCATCCGGAGGTGTTTCAGCAGCCACAGGACCACTGGAAGCTCTCCCCGGCAGAGATCAAGCTTGTGGGGTACATCAAGTGGGATGGGGAGCCGCCTCCTCTCACGATATATCTCCGGCCGCTCCTCGCTCGAGTACAAGCAGGCTCCAAGACCAAGGTCAAGGACTATGTTGGCCGGGACCCCAAGGAGGTTGCGCAGGATGACGCTGGCTGGGGAGACCGAAGAGGTGCTGATTGAGGGGCTCCACTCACTCCCGGGCCGGCTCCCTCGTCTGCCAAGCCGAAGGAGTCAAAACTCGTGCCGACCAGCCCGTCAAGGCCAAGTCTATGCCGAAGAGCAAGGGCAAATCAATGCAGGTCACTGCCTTTCCGGGCCCCGGCTTCCAGACTACCTTTCTCCGCGAGTCCGACCTGGCAGAGGGCACAGTGGTGGCTGTCACCGCAGACACCATACAGGTGCACTTAACGGACGGCTCTTACGGCGAGCTCACCGTGCCGAGTTCTTTTCACAGGGCCTTTCGCAAAGGCGACGCGGTCAAGCAGATGGAGGTGGTTGGCTTGGAGCCCGAGCAGCCCATCCTTTTGGCGTTGTCACGCCCGGCACTGGCAGTGGATGGCGTTGACATTGACCTGACCACCACCGAAAGGCCTGAGAAGCCCGGTGGCAACAGGTCCCCTCTGCCTCGGCGCTCCTCCCTGCGCACACCAGAGCTGTCGACCAGGTCCCGCGCCAAGGAGAAGAAGGAGCGTGTGGTGATGTGGGTATGTAGGCGTGTAGGTATGTATGTAGGTAGGTAGGTAGGTAGGTAGGTGGGTAGGTAGGTAGGCAGGTAGGATGTGTGCGCACGTACATGCATTTGCCGTACCGTGTGGTGTGTTGTCAGGCAAGTACAACAGAACATCTTTCGTGTAGCAGTTTCTCCCAGCATCGTGCAATGATTTCATTGCACAGTAACGTCGCAGACTGAGGCTCCAGTTCCTAGAAGGTATCCCGCAAAGGCGCAAGTATGAACGCTTGCCACCTTGTAAATTATGTTGTATCTTTCCTCAATATACTAGCGGTGCAGAATGACATGCATACATCTTCACATGTAATTCATGGACGTTCAAGTGTTTTGTAAAAATCTTATGTACAAATATAGCTGTGTGTGCATGTTAACTTGTTTATTACCAATGCCATAGTTGCTGGTACTGTGCACAAAAGTTTGATTCTCGTTCTCAGTATTCTTGTCATTGTCATTAACATGTTTTATTAGTTGTCATGGTTGTCAGTATGAGGAGATGACGACGGCGGCGACTACGACTACTAGTGCTACCGCTATTTGCTATTGTTACTACTCCTACTACTACTACTATTACTACTACTACTACTACTACTACTACTACTACTACTACTACGACTACTACTACTACTACTACTACTACTACTGCTTTTTCTACTGCTACTGCTGCAGCTGCTGCTACTACTACTACTACTACTACTACTACTGCCGACACGATTGATCTGGATGCGCTGGATTAGTTAGTGTTTTGTTGATGGAGTCGTGCACCTAGCACGATGC